GAACTGGTTTTACCAAGAATCTTGATAGGAAACCAATGAATCAGAGGTGGGCGAGGGTACTATCTTGAATCATCCTGACCTGCCTGATAAGGGAAAGGAAGCTAAATATATTTACCTGGTAGTTTTTGACTGAACTAATGATGAAATGCCAATGTCAGCCTCCCAATTGATATGGATGGGGTAATCAAATTTAGGAGAGCCAGGTAGTTGGAAGACTACTGACTAAAAAGGTATAATGGCCCTTTGCTTTCCATGCTTCTTGTTGTAATAATCATTAGGCCAGGACCCTAATAATTGAAAGAGAGTAGCATTTCTTGCTTTCCAAGCCATCAAGTAGTAAGGACTGGCAAAATGTACCAACTATATTTTGTACCTGCTACTCAATTATAAACATTTTTAGAATTGTGTATAAAATAATCATTGTTTTTAAAAAATTCAGAGTTTTTTTAACTAAAATTATCACCTGACAACTCAAATGCACCACTATGTTGTCTGTAGGGCAACACAACAAAGCCAAATCCCATGACAGTCTAGACATCTAGCCCATATTGGTAATTTAAGAGTACTACATCAATTATGAGAAGTATGTCTATATACACTGTGTTCTAAGTTTCATGGGAATGCACAGTATCAATAAGAGTGTTCAGTGTAATGTCTTGCAAACCCATCATAAGACCAATAACAGATCACAACTCAAAAGATTTTGATAATGCCATATTTGCTTCCACCATTTACATTTTGCATGTTTTGGTACATTAGACTTAGATACTGTTTCTGATATACATTATGGATATGGAATGGCTAAGTAAGCTTTGCTTTAACTTCGTGTCTAAGACAAATGATCAAGACAAGGTAGGCATGAAGTTTTTGAAAAGAGAAACCGATTGCAAATATAATCAAAACAAATGTAGAAGAACATTCCACTGTTTCTGGTAATATGGCTATCCATGGCTGAAGTATAACAAAGAGAAAGGAGGTCATGTTCTGTTCATGAAGTTCCTTCATAAAAATCATGATTTTCTGACAACTAACTTCCTTTCTTGTGGGATATTTGATTTAGAACAAGGTAGCACCATGTTTGTAATTTTTTATTAGCCAACTAACTTGTTTGTTAAATTGTGGAAAACAAAAGTTTATTGCAGACAACCATACTTGGGCCAAAGGTTATCCGCTGGATGACCCATTCTGTAAGTCTTATTTTGAACACTGGTAGCAGCACAAATTTTAATCTTAGCAAACATACTTTTAGTTTAAATGTCTTGATTCATCTAAATGTTATTAATGATCATATATTTTGTGAAGACTGAAATAGAAAATGAGTTTGACAGCTCGTAGATGACACTGTCATTGCTACAGAGTGTAGCTTTGGCTGGTAACTGACATTACTAAAGTTGTTCATGCAGTAGCCAGAAGCAAAGTGTATAAACTAATAGAGTACTTGATGAAGCATAGTTGAAGCATACATATATGGCAATATAAGCATCTAAAACACGTGGCAACACACATTTGTGAGAACATTGCACAATCCTTTACAGATATTTTAAACAAATTAAAATAAATGAAGCAACCACACACAAAGAATGAGATTATATAACAGGAAAATAAAAAAGGAAATAAGAAAAAACCAAGAAAGCTTGACAAAAAAAATTTTGACCCTGATGTCAAGGATTGACGAGTACAAGGCCTACTGTTAAGAATAACCTATAAAGTTATCGGAAAATACAATGCTCCCGTGATTTTTATTAATGCTGAATGTTTCAGTTTCAACATTGAGACATTCTGCACATTTGTGAATTTTCATTAAAAAGATAGGAGTAAAAGACACAACTACAGTTAGAGAGAAAAAGAGTTTTACCTGGTGATTCTCAGAACACATATGGATTTACCTGTTGTTTCTCGTAGTGTAATTCAGAGAATGTTTCAACATTCCAAGTAATAGCCTGGAAATCAAGTATACATATATAGTTTACCTAGCATTTTATTTGACTGGGATAGGAATTCTTTGTCATGCAGCTTGAAATATTTTTAATATGCAATCAGTTTTAATGAATACTTTCCTAACATTGTTCTATCACAAAATACAGTTTGAAGCATGAAAATGCTAACTCTAAATGTAATAGGGTGAGGTGGAAGGTCCACCCATGCAGTGAAACCACATAATTTGCAACATAAATGTTAAACAATTTATAATTTGTAAGTTGAAGATAGTCCTTCAAAAAGGCAATGAGTGTTGCCAAGGGCTAATGGTCATAGGTGAGATAATCAGTGTTAAAATCAAGTTTTGGCACAAGTGTTCGAGTTGTCCAGTAGAAGTAACAGAGGGCAGAATGGCCACAGGTAGCTTGCCAAATGAAAACCCAGTGAAGCTTGAGGATTTGGAAGTCTGAGGTCTTTATGCATGTGTTCTACAGATGATGATGATGAGCATGAATACACATTAAGCCTGTAGACATGTTATTTGAATACCTGATTCACAATCAAAACTGAACATTACAAACCCTCTTTAACCTTTATACTCAGTTGGACCTTTTATCAACTAGAGCTTTGTAAACCTTTGCATTTTAATTCAGGTTTTCAGTATTTGGTGGTTAGTTCCAGCCACAATCAGTCTCTTGCTTTCAACTTCAAACATTAATCTCACCTGAACCAAGTCCCAGTATTCTAGTTCCTGTCCCAGAGTCTTCTTGATCTCAGACTGAAGCTTTGCAGTTATTCCAAGATGCCCAGGATTTTCTTTACAGCTAGGGATCATGAGGTCATGCAAAAAAATGGAGAGTGCAGGGTTATTACTCACCATTAGCAAGCCCACAGATGAAGATGCACTGCTTACCAACAAGTCCAACTGGGGAAAATTTGCAAAAGGAGTTGGCACTGATGTCCCCACAGGTCAAGCTGTCCGTGACAACTGATGAAGGCCTTGATGCCCCTGGAGAGTCCCCATCATTGAATCACTGGAGTCAATATCACTATGATGCAGCAGGAATCTGCACCATTGCTGACACTATACATGGAGGTGAAGACTAAAAAAAGAGAGGCCTGGTAATTCGCTCTATCACAGGTTGCAGCATAACTATGAGGAACTCATGGCAGATGTTTTCTCATCTTCAACAGGACTACAACATCTGGATGCCAAAAATTGAAGCTTTCTGGTGCTAGGTGCTTTTCATGAGACATCTAAGTTACAAGAAAACAAAGGTTGGATGAAGCCCTGCAACACTTTGATGTCAACAACCAGAACTAAAACAATGGAAGCACAGAGGAGCCAGGTGGTTCTATCTGTCAACAAAGGAACCACCATCTTGAGGACTGAACCAAGAAAATTATCCTGTGATGTTTACATTGCCATGGTGAAAAAACAATTATCATGAAAGACATCCAAAGGGAGACTGAGGATGAAACTCCCGACAAGATCACCAAGGGTGATTACAAACCAGCTCATGTTACAGCAAATTTCAGTGCTGAAACACCACTGTCAGGAGATGGCAACCGAGTGAATTGAGGCCTGGTGACAGTGACAATGGAAGCTCTGCAAGAATGGCTAAGATGAGCAGAATGAAGCCTTGAGTACTTTGTATACATGTATCATTTCTTTTCTTTTTTTAATTTGGAATGCTCTCTACCTTCTGCATTCATGAGTGCATGCAGAAAACAGGGGTCTAGCAATTCTTTTTTTGTGTGGGGTGATGTTCCATATATGTTTATTTTGTGTGTAAACATTGCAGATTTTGTGTTTACTTTTACAATGATGTACACTCACTCTTTCATGCATGCAAGCATGCATGAAAGAGCAGAAATTCAAAGGTGTTTTTTTTCTATTGTTTGATGTCATGTATGCTTTGTAAGTTTGACATGCCTCCTTACACTTGTATGCACAATCACATTAAAGTGGTTAACTTCCAGTTGTTTGGTTTTCTTGATGTTTTTTTGTGTTATTATAATTAGATTTTATGTTAAAGATTGGTTTTTATTCAACTTAAAATGCTTTTTTTGTACAACTAAAGCTGTCCCTTGTGTAATGGGGGACAGCTTTAAATGTTTGTTGAACTTAATATCTCTTAAAACGTTCTCTTTGTATCTTGTTCTTGTTTTATTCTTATTGGTTAGTTAGTTTTTTTTTAGTCTGTCCATTCTTAAAGTGAACAATATAACTAACTCTGCATTTATCTTCATTTTTTTCGTATTTAGTTTCTATGAGTATGTACTTGCATATTGTCATTTTTATAGCATTAATCTTTGTTAAAAGGGTGTTTTATGTATTTTTCATTAATTAAAGTTATTTTCATGTACTGGCTCATACATTTTGAATATAACTCAAAGTTCTAGCGTTAAGCACTGGGCTATCTAAACATTGAAGTTACAGAGTTTTATTATTGTATATAATCATGCTTTTTTGAGTTAAATCAAAGCAAAAACTTAGCCCATTGAAACTCAATATTAAAGACTCTTATTGTTTAAATGTTATGTTGTCCATGTCCCATGCATTTGTTCTTAGGAATAGAGTAAAAGTTAAAATACTCCTTAAAACCATGTTATTAGAGTAAAGATGATTGATCTTAAAGATAAACTTAAAACCAGAACTTTGTTTATTCCAGTTATACCATTAAAAAGTTCCAAGTATTCTAATCTTCTGGGTGAAACTGAACTCTGGAAAATTAGTAGAAACATAAATTTAAAAAAAGAAAAAGTGATCTGATTAAACCTTTTTTGCAGTTCTTCATCACTAAGCAAATTAATCTACAAATCTGCACACATGCATATATCTAAAATTGCAAAATGAAATACTTTTCAAAAACATTTCAGAATGAAATATTGTCCCACCAACTACATTGAAGCATAAGACAATCACAAATATATAAATAAGTTAAATGAACACATACAAACCTATCAAATTCTTTAGCCTAATAATATATTATGGGGATTAGTTTTAAGACAGGAAAAAATGGTAAGTAAAAGACCTCTGAATGAAATATCTTAAAAAATATACAAGTACAAACACTTACGGATTTCATCTCTTGTTTTATTCTTGAAACTTGCCATGAAATGGATAGAAAAACAGAGAAATAGTTTTTCAAGTCCAAACTCTTTATTTCTGTCTTTAGTCTAGATCTGAAAACATATGTAAAGCAACTGTTTTAAATATTTAAAATATAGTACAAGTATGTAAAAGTTTCACGTACATAGATAAAACATTTTACACTTTTAAAACGTTTGAGGTCAAGTTAACTGTCATATAAATTACTACTAAAAAAACATGCAAAATTACAAATGTGTATACACTTTTAGAAAAGGAAAGTGTTTTGTTAATAGTAGATTGATCTAAAATGTCATAAGAGTAACAGCATTGCATTCTTGAAATGTTCCAATCTACAATAATAACAAAAATCATAAACTACTGTTCGCTGAAGTAAAAAGACTACAATTACTTCTCTTTGAAGCTAAGAAAGCAGATCTTAGCTATTCAAGACAACCTACAATCAAGTTGGGCAAGAAAAAAAGAAAAAAAAAGATCTGATGCAGATCGCCAACTTCATCAAAACTTTCACATTATATAATAGTTTTATGTAATAAAATATACTGATTTAAGCTCAAAATGATTAAAACTATGGACAGAATACTTGAGTTATAAGCAAACAGTGTTGAAAATAAATTCCATACTAATAAAAGTTGATTGTTGTCTTTGGAAAAAAAAATCTTGAGTTTTACAAACCATTATTTCCTTGTCTGCTGTACAATCAGTAGTATTAGTAATGACTAAATAAATAACAGAGCAGCTAGTGCTTGTCACATCAATCAAATTTCAACATTATCAGGCAATTACATAGAGGCCTACCATCACAGTGAGCTAAGTTCAATGTCCTAAAGAACTATATTAAAATCCACAAATTCTTTAAACCAAATACAAACAACACTTGGAATTAAATGAAGTTTAGAAAACCATTTTAGTTAAAAATATCAATTTCTGGTTGCCTTCTCCTAAGTATTCCTCTAGGAGATATGAAAAACTATGATCCTTTCATATTATTGCTAAAAAACAATACTCAAAAGAAGAAAAAGTTTTAGAAAACTAAGTATAGATGATAAAAACATTACTTGGTACTACTTTAAAACAGAGCACAGATAGCCCATTGTGTAGATTTATGCTTAACTTCAAACAAACAAACAAAAACTAATTTGAAACTTAAATTCTCTTATAAGCTCTATCTCATATTCGTAAAGAAGTTTCTTTCAATGAACTTATGAAAAATATCATTACTGTTGTTATCCTACCCCTTCCCATAAAAATGCATGGTTGTTGTTATTTTAAACAAACAAGACAGTGTGTACTGATGACACCATTAAATACAAGTTAAACCTAATTATCTCATACAACGGAAAACTAATGTGCTTTGAAATTTTTTTAGGTTTTAGCTCAAGTAATATCTTTGAAAAACTATCTTTCTGATTTCTGACTGGCCTATAATGTCTGGCTTATTTAAGGTTTACAGTAACAAAATTTTCTTACATCCATCTTATGGTTATGTCTGATAAAGAACTGGGCATTTTGTTTTCATAACACTTGAGGTCTTACAAATTTAGTATGTGTAACTTTTGACTTCATAAAATGTTTTCAAAATACTATCATTTTTATATAAAATTAATTTAAAAATCAAAATGGTTAAAATAAAAAACATGGAATTTCTATACACTTCAGAAATATACGAACTAGTTACTTCAATGCATTTACCTATACACTGTAAATATTTAACTGTGCATTGCCAGGTGGCATTTTTCTTGTGAATTAGGGCAAAAATATTTCTGGAATACAATGCACATGTCATTTATCATGTGAAGTGGTGTGTATTGCCAAGTTATATTATTTCAGAATAATTACCGAGAAGTCTCATGAAAGAAACATGCTCATATGTTCTGGTTGAGAGTAACCATGACTAATAGTTTGAGTGACTTTTCTTTCATTTATTACTTGTTTACTGGGAAAAATGTAGACCCCAATTATTCAAATCATATGTTAATGAACTACTGTAGACATATGAAATCTATATTGAGATAAATTACCAACACTGCTATCCATTGATAAATTATTCAAATAAAGTTCTTGAAATGTAGCCTAACTTAAACTCAAAACTTATTTAGAAGAGCTAAAACTGAGAAAACAAAGAGAAAGGGATCATATGCGACAATGCTGTTGCCTAAAGATAGTGATAAATATAATGAAAAGAAATGCACATATAGTACCACATTTTTGTTTTCAGCTTTAGCAGTTTTAGATAAAAATTGGTTATTGAAGTTCTTAATTATCCAATAACAAAACACCATTATCATTCTAGAAAATATTTCTAATTTGAGTTCAAGTAATTTGCTGTTGATAGTGTTAGGTTGTATTTGTAGAAATATTGAATACAAGTCTAAAGAGGTTATAATATATAGAGGCCACGGGACACTGGTTAGGACTCATTTAGAGTACTGTGCTCAGTCTAGGGCTACTTACCTTAAAAAGGGTATTGCATTGCTGAAAAGGGGTTCAGAGCAGGGCTACTACATACTACATACCTAGGATGGAAAAATTATCATACAAGGAAGGTTTAAAACTTCCAAAATTATTTTCTCTTAACAGAGTTAGAAAAGATCCAATTAATGAGTATTTAAGATTAAGAGAACTAATAGTGTAATCGCATTGTCTTTTATTATACTTAATAGTGCAAATGGTAGACACAAATGTAAGTTTTGGCAAGGTAAGAGTCATCTTCAGCTAAGACAATTTTATTTTACTAACAGGGTGGTTAACCTTTGGAATGGATTGCCTAATGTGGTGGAAATGGGGTGTTTAATGGAAGACTTCATAAGGGCAGGCTCCAATGTACAGCTGGCTCTGTCCTACTTAAATGTTATGTTTACTATCTGCTTACTCTATAAAAACCATTTACTTGCACATCATCATTTGGCTTTTACTGGCCTATTGAAAGTCTCAGACACAAGTCAGGTATAAAAAGTGCTGATTACAATTTATACAAAATTTTTTAAGTAACTATCAGTCTTTAAAGGTTAGATACTTTACTTGTAACATGTAAAAAAGAAGCTCAGGAGCTAGGAAAATTAATTTACATTGTACTTTTTATTAAAGTGTTACCAGGTACATTCATTTCCCAACTAATATTTGCTATCAAAAACTGTCCAGAAAATTAATGCACTTGCACATTTTGTACAAGGCTTCACCACCTGCAGATCCTGATAAAAAAAAAGCTTTATATCCTTAAGACTTTATCTATTTCTAAGTTATTTTAACTGAACAGAAAGAACTTAACAAATCATGCATAAGATTGCAGAATCATGGATAAATAATTTCTTTTTCGTATCACTGAACTACTAAAATTGCCTTAAATAAAGTCTGAGGTTTGTACAAATTGACCACTTTCTTTTGCTTGAAATATGACTTAACTCCTTAAACCAATTTTTGGCAAGACGCTGCCAGGGTCTTGCCTAAAATCCCACTTTATCCACAAAATGGTGACAGCATCTGATAACATTTGTCTCTTTGGCTGAAAACTATTCCACACTATGTTATTATCCATAAAGTTAAGAAAATTGAAATTTTATAAAGGTATGGTGATAATTATTAGGAATTCATGAAAATAATTCTGGCAGAACAAGCAAAAGAATTGTGTGTTTAAAGAGTTAAAATATGTTAAAAAGAAATATGATTTAACGTTACTATCATAATGACAGATTGCATGACTGCATTACTTGGCCATAAAAAGAGGCACACAAAATAAAGCATGCAAGTCATACACTGATTGCAACCAGTTTCATAATCTAATGACAAAGCACTTCCTGTACGAACCTGTTCCAAATCAAATTTTATTTTAATTATTAATAAAACAAATTTTGGTTATTACAACATGGCAACCCAAATGCAGATTGACACACTGCTGATGGATACTGTGTAATATATTTTCCTAAGGTACATTTATAATTTTGAACATTTGCTTTATTTTTCAGAGAAAATCTATACATTAAGAAGTAAAAACTGGTCTTACGAGCTCCATTTCAACTTTTATCCTCAAAAAATGTTTTTTCAAAATACTTTAACATTTGTGTATATTTTGTTTAAAAAATCAAACAAGAGTTAAGAAATAAAACACAATTTCTATATACTGAAGTTTACTTCAAAGCACTTGTTGATAAACTGTATTAATCATAATTTGTAAAAAAAACAATTTAATCATGAGACAGAGCATTCCATTAGACACCAGCAAACACATTTATTCTACATTTTTATATCATACTGTAACTGTAATTCCACCAGGCAGTTTTGAGGAATAATCCTGTGATGTACATGTTTAACACAAAATAAATAAGCCTACTTGAAGAATGGGTAAAGCTAGAAGAACATATTAGTGCCTGGACAGGGCACTTAAATAGCCTTAAAGGCCACATGGGATACAACATTTGATGATTCCAAAATCTCCCCTACAATACAGAACATTATTGCCAAATCTATTACAGTTTTTCTGAAATATCAAAAATCTTCAGACCAGCAAATAGTTGCTTGGATAGAGCAGTTAACACAAAGACACATCTCATATGTCATTAGATTAACTACCTCTTTCCTAATGAAAATAATTTCCAAATCTTTTAGTTTTGCTGTAATGTCAAGAAAAACCTCTAAAACCAGCATGTATTTTCTTGGATGGGGCAGTTAATTAACAACTGCACAGCAACCAAGAAAGAATTGAAATCTATAATTTTGAAAATGCAACTTGAAGAACATAACCAGCTGACAATTTGTTAGTAATAACACTTCATCAATCTTGTGAGGTGTTGGTTTCAAACAACCAATTTATACAAGATACACAGTATGTACAGATTTAGTAAAGCGAATTACAATTTATGATATTCAGGATGGAAAACCACTTGTAATATACCTTTCATTTTCACAGCTTCAAGCTTTAGATACTGTCACACTTTGCCATGGATTTGTCACTTCTTTATGATATCTGGGTGGGCTTGTTAACAATGGCACAAGTTTTTTTCTGGTAATGGAATTTCAGCAAAACCTTGCTTCATAGTCTCCATTTAGCAAGTTGCCCCAACTGTTTCCAGCATTTACTTCTGACATAGTACCTTCCTCCCCGATTTACCATAAATTGCTTTAACCTTTAAACTTTCTTTAGTAAGAGGATCTTCCAGACTGACAATCTCGCAGACAAAATATAGAGGCATGTGCAAGTGCTGATCTATGAGCAATTCTCCTGGAGAAAATGCCTCACTACATAATACTTGTCTTTCAATCCTTTGACAATAAAGTTGAATGATTGTACTTAGCCAGAGGGGATCTCACTAGTTTACATACCTACTCCCAATACTTTCCAATGCTCCTTTACAAATTTGATCACATGAAGGACAAAAAACTTAAAAATTGATACGACAAGATCATTGATGCACATACAGAATTTGGTACATCAGTGGGAGTAGCTGAATTACATATTTGCCATTTAGTGTTCCATATCAGGGCAAACATATGCTTATCTGGATTTTTTTTTTGAGATAATATAATGACCATTAACCAGTTTTTGACTACTTATTTTTGCTCTATGTGTGAAACAATTAGAAAAATCAAAAGAGATAAGGTACTTAATGCTATTTAAGTGCTCTATCTGGACAAATATATAATGGTCTGGAGAGTTATTTTGATATACCAGCAAATTTATGAGAGATTTGGAGATAATTCTTTTTTTGCTTATTTTAGGGGACAATAGAAGCAATTGAATAGCATATGACATTTAATGCTACTTAGATTCATAAATTCATAAAATTTTAAAGGGACAAAAGAGAGCTTATTAGCCCATCATGGATGTCCCTTCCAGCTTCCAACTATAACCACCCCTTACTACTCATGTATTCATTCAATCTTTTCTGCCTCCACTACCCTTGAAGGCAGCTCATTCCAAAAGCCAACCACACTGTTTGAAAAGTAATACTGTAAACTGCAGATGACTCCTACGCTGCCAAAATGTGAACTTATGACCCATTGTCCTATTGTTTTCACTGCTAAACACAAAAAAATTTGATGAATCTATAGTATCAATACCCTTAATAATCTTAAACACCTCAATCAAA